ACACAAATACTTTGATGTGCATCATTTTCATAAAGGAAATCAAAACTAACACTTAAATGATCATAGCCAGTGTATTCATATAGATCTGGGTTGCATAGCTGTCTGCCATCGGCTCTAGGACCTTGTATTCAGCTTGTATCCACCGTTACATTCCACACCACCAACTCGCCCATCTCCTGTGTCACCTAACAGAGGAGCCATGATTCCAGCTCAGCCTGGCTCCTCTTCACAGAGCGTCACATTAGTCAGTGCTTTATTGGGCCTAGGAGATTACCTACCCTATGTAAGGCAGCGGTATACCTCTTTCATTCTCTTATATTGGGATAACCGCAAGAGCCCCGACGCCTCACTGCTTCATTTTAAAGTGCCCATGTATTAACAGTATTTGCACCCTCTGAGATGTCCATTAAACACAATAAACCCTAATAAAGGAATACTGATATTGCCTAATTGCAGCCTTTTATTTCCTCATTTATTTCTATCCTATGTGCCTAAGTAACAACATGTAATTATGTGTGATTATGCATTACAAGGCTGTCTTTGCAAATCTACAATAATGTCTGCTAACTAAAAGAGAATTACATCAGCAGACAGATACAGACAGTAACGTTTATTACTGGCTCAACTGAGAATTAACACCCCAGTCTGCAGCTCTTTCCAGCTTTCAGCACACTGTTTCAGTTAGCCAGAACAAAAACAAAACAGTGGCACTTCCTGTAAAGCTGTGGGCAGCCACTTAAAGCACAAGGGCGCAAACAAACCGATTCTACACTACCTGCCTTAAAAAGGGGGGAAACAAGTGTAAGCAAGTGACTACTAGACAAAGTCAAACATTTACTCAAGCCCAAGAGACCCACACATTTTCCCCCTCAAAAGTTGGCATGGGGTTAAAACACCACTGACCATTGGACTTAACATTTTGACAGGAAGCCAGATATCAATATCTCAGACTTGCTAAATGTTAAACTTTGTTCACCAATTCCTCTGTGTTTCAAGAAGTGTCATGTATAATCTGTAATCTAGCGGGCTGAAAGCTGTAACTCAGCTTCCCTTTGTCCTAACCAGTGTGGTTTGGGTTTTGTTTTGTTTTTTTAAGCCCACTGATTGGCCAATAGAGCAGGCTGTAACACTTTGGCAACAATTTGTTTCATTTCGTTTTAAAGAAATATTAATTACTCTTGTTTTAATAGTTAAAAGGTTAGAAAACATGATTTAAAAAAATGCTCAACTAGCAATTTGTATGGCCTGTTGTCATAATGTGCACAAATCATCATGTTGTGCACCCAATAACATCTTGACACAAGTGCTTTCAGTTTCTCTGGCTCCATTCAGGGTGGGTGCTGCTATGCTTTAGACAGGCAAAAAAAAAAACAACAACAACAACAAAAAACGTGGACACCTGTTGAACTATTATGAACATGTACGATCAAGAGTAATAAGCACATTAAGACATTGTAAAAAGACAGTATACCATCTTTCAGGTCTGTGTCTTTATATATCAGGATATAACAAAAAAAATCTGCTGCTTAGTGGGTCTGCTAAAGAACAGAGCTACTATTTAATTCCTGCTAATCAAATTAACTGATAACCTCTATAAAAGCAGAAGTTTTGGTAGTTTGTTGGTCTGGAGCATTCAGCTGTGTGTTATCACAATGCCAAGGAGCAAAGACATCCGCAGTGATCTCAGAGAAGAAGAATTGTTGCTGCCCATCAACCTGCAAAGTCTAATAAGGCCATTTCCAAATGATATGAAGTAATTCTGCAATGGGAAATATTATTGACAAGTACAAAACATTCAAGACTGTTTCCAGTGTTCCCGGGAATAGAAATCCCAGTAAATTGAACCCAATGTCAAACGTTATGCTGCTTTTGGTTTCTACCTTATTCTGATGTGGTAGTAACAGCAGGTAGCGCTGCATATTTAAGTTAACAGTTTAAATCCCAGAAAGTTGATTCTGTTTTAGTGGGAGGGAAGTCTCATCAATCAAGTTTCCTGACATCTTCACTCCCAGCTGAACATTAAGTCCAAGTGTGACTGGGAATATGATCCCAAACACAGCCTCAGATCTACAAGCAGAATGGCTGAAAAAGAAAAGAATCAAGGTGCTACAATGTCCCAGTCAAAGTCCAGACCTCAACGCAATGGAAATGCTGCAGCAGGACTTTTAAAAGAGCTGTGTATAAACAAATGCCTGCAAAACTCAATGAACTGAAGCAACGCTGTAAAGAATAGAGGGACAAAATTCCTCCACAGTGATGTGAGAGACTGAAAGTCATACAGAGAATTATTACTTCAAGATATTGCTGCTAAATATGGTTGTACAAGCTACTCAGCTCTTCATTCACCGCTTTGCATTTTGGCTTAGCTTTTGTTAAATAAATAATGACGTGGTGAAATGTGTCGAGTGTTGTTGTTCATCAGACGTTGTATTTAAATTATTTTAAAACCTGGTAAGAACCAGATGATTTTTTAATTACGTCTCAATACATAAAAACTTAGAATTCCCATATTTTTTCTTTACCATAAGTGTAAAAGCCACTGCAGAGGTAATCCGTTTAAAGCAAAAATATGCCCTTTTTTGCACGTTGTTCCTCTGGCTGTGTGCAAACTTGTGTATTTGATGCAGACTCTGGAAAAATAAAAACTTGCCATAATCAGATGCAAGAAAATAAAGAAACAAAACATGTTTATGCTGTGAAATTCATCCCTTGTATTAATTACACCAGTGCTGCTTTAAACAGATTGAATTTGTTAGCCAAGACAGGTCCAATGAGCCATGACAGGGCAAGACTTCACAGGACCCAAAATATAAAAAACTGTCTCTGAATACAGATATTGTACTCTGCCACACAGATTACGTTTTTTTTCTATTTAAAAGTAAACTTGAATACCGGATTATGTATCAACAGTTCAGCTGTTGCACTGAAAAAAGTTCAGCTCTCTATTCTCTGGCCTGCTCATCTTTACTTTCACTTTTAACTGACAGCTATATACCCCTTGAACCTTGTATCGAGATAGCGTGAAGCAGATCGACCAACTGGGGGGGGGGACACACAAAACAGTGTAACACTCAGACTGTGACTGTGTGAAGCAAACTCTTCTTTGCCCCCTCTATAGCAAATTCCTGACTCCAGGCACAAACAGGGCCAGCACATGAGCCCATTTTTCTAAAAACAACTGAATAGTGGTGTTTATAACCCAAGCCCACGTGCTGTGAGTCATCACAACCACTGCTGATGAGTTGTGACACAGAGAGACAATACTCTTGGGGAAACCATGTAGTATTTAATCACAATGTAGGGCTCTGGCAGATACTACCAAAGAGAAAACTATGACCACTGTGATAAATCAGATTATCATGTGGAAAGCTGTAGAATGTTGTAAGCATAATGAAATGCACAGCACCTCCTGAAAAATGACACTGTCCATGATAAAAATGCAGTCCAGAAGAGCTGCAGTGAGACAGAGGAGCCTGTACAGATCATATTTGTGCAATGATAGCTTTCTCAGCTTAAAGGGGGGAAAAAACACACAGACACAAAAAACAATTGTACATATAGTCACTGGAAGCTGCTCCTAAAAACAATACTTCCCCGTGATAGTGAGTTTACATTGTCTGCTTTTCTAGTCAGAAGTCCTCGCTTGCAATCACATGTCTGTCTAAAATTAATAATAGCAACAGACAGACAAGACTGGACACAAAATATAAAGAAATAAATGAGGAAAAAGCAAAAAAAAAAAAAAAGCTTTGCTTTTGCAGCATCCTGGTGATAAGCTGGCAATACACTACAAACGTGTCCAATCAAAGTAGGTCAGTGTAACATGGATCAGTATAAGAGTGGAAAGACAAGTTAACTGCTCGCTTTTTGTCTGAAAGGCATTTAATCATCATCTGCTTTGTTAATCAATTCACTGTTTAGTTTTTTTTCTTGGTTAAATTAAGTTTTCAGGCTCTCAGCTGTGCTGATATTTAGCTGATGGAATAGTTTGTGTTTAGTAGTGCTTACAAATATCCCGCCATGAGTCAGACATCTACTTGCAGTTCATTAGCCTCCTCTGAGGGGGTTGGCGTTGGGAGTAAACTATATGACTATAGGCGAGCCTCCCCTATCTAAAGGATTCCATTGTTGTACCACTGTGACAAAGCAGTTTTGCAGGTTCTACCTTCACGTCTCCTCCCTCTCCCTTCCTCCTACACCTCACCAGTGAAAGCTGCAGTTGAGCATGCTCCCATTCATCACGGTAAGTTTCCTTGTTACTGGTAGTTTCATTCATTCTCATGCAGACACCACAAAGTCACTTTGTTAAAAGCTTTGTGGCAGGCGAGGGCTATCAGTACTGCAGACAGGCCAAGCTGGGGTACGTGCTTTAAGGTGGCCAACAGGTAACAGACAGATAAGGCACCCAGTATGACTGACCTGGATATGTCACACACTCTCACACACACACACATACACAAAAAAGCAGTGACTGATTTGCTGCTGCCGCAGTATTTTCTCTGCCACGATTATTCTCACATTGGTCATCATGTCATGTTCAATAACAACCTTAGTAACAGGTTTTTAACACTGATAATTACATGTGTACATGCAAGGGCCCACTAACACAACAGAACAATGCAGCATAAGAAACTGTATGACATGCATGTCTAAATAATGAGAACTTGCTCTGATGAGCCCAATCACTCCAGCTATCTGTAAACAACAAACCAACAATATACCATTTAATTTACAGGGCAACATGGATAATAAGGGTTCATTAGAGAGAGAGAGGTCCTATAGCTGTGACTCACTGCAGTTTCCAGTGTAGGCTGCTTGCCTTTAAGTCAATATGGCCGCACTTAGTAGTAAAGTATCGATTTTGTCAGTGCTGACAGACGATCAACGCCTTTCTTTTATGCAAATATGGGTGTAAGCCAGACTTTCCCAAAGATTCACAGCCAGTACCACAGCGTGACAGTGCTATCTATGGCCTATTCTGAGCCCCATAATCAGCTTACCAGGTTGAACACCGTCTCCACAATGTCTCGGTTGGAAACTTCCCCAACTTCCACCAGGCCGGTGAGCACGGCGAATTTCATTCTTATCCCCCTGATAGGCACTCCGGGGTTGAGCCCCACGGCGCCAGGTCGCCCGTCCTTCCCTTCACCTGGCGGTGCAGCGCCCGCTGTCTCCTCGCTAGCCATTGCTAAGGAAGCGGACGGGACAGGTGGCGTTCACAGGTAAGGCACCTGTTCACCTCCAATGGTGACAGTGGAGCCGATGTCAGAAGAGGGAAATAAGGGGGAGGGGGGTTTATCTCCCCTTCAGCTGAGTTGTTGACAGTCTATAGGCACATAAGCAAGACGTTTCCCTCCCATCCAAAAACAGAGCCTCGAAAGTGGGTAAAAAACGAGAGAATTTGATGACCGCTGACACCGCGAGGCTGGAAATGTCAGTGCTCCTCTCCACGGTGAACTACTCCTCTGCCCTGCTCTGTAACTTGATGCCACACGGAGGGTTTTACACTGTTAAAAGCCGTGGAAAGTGTGGTGCAGGTAACAAGGGGAGAAGCAGGTGAAGAAGAGTTCGCCCTTTTACCTGTGTCCTCCCGTGCTCCTGTGCACAAACGGCAAGCGAGGATACTTTAATATCTCCGCACAGCAGTGGAAGTTGCTATTGTCACTGAGTCCACTCACTTGACAGGTAGCGCTTGGCATAATAATAAAAAAAACTCATAAACTGAATGGAAGCAAGTCCGCCAGCAGCTCCAGAGAAAGCCGACAAAGAGCTGAGGTCCGCTCGGTGACCCCCTCCTCCTCCTCGGGAAACTCCGCACACTTGGCTAAATGGCAACGTTGACCCAGCTGCGCTGCATTTGCTTCCTGATCTACCCCGGTAGCTTCAGCTCGTCACCGCCATGACAGTATAGCCCTTGAGTGAGTGGCGCATGCGCAGTACACAACTGGGGACTGTTAAGCTCAGTGGCAGGTGTGCAGCTCAGGTGGTTTTCTAGCTCCGTGCACGGGGACTGCGTTCAAATCAACAGCGTGTGAACTGAGTTACTGCGAAACGTTAACGGTTTGAGCGCTGTCGCTTAGAAGTCCTCTTTAAACAGGCTCCACACAACAAAACTCGCGATTTCACAGTCTCTCTACACGCACACCACATCATTAACATCAATAACACAAGGAGGCAAAATATAATGCACAACAGTAGTCCGCTAACCTCAGCGAGAGAGATACATTATCACCGTTCAAGCAATGCCAGCTAAAATTAATGTGGGACTATGAGCTTGGAAATTTTGCGTCTGAGCTGTGTCTGTCGCACAGTATGCATATTTGCACATTACAGGTTATTGAAAGTGTCTTTGTTCCGTTTTCAGGAAAAGCAGCTTGCTACCCTACCCTCAGGACAATGCACATGTCACGTGAACCCAATGTAAACTACAATGCTGAAGGGAGGAAGGGAAGACGTATAATAGTAAGCAGATAATACTGCACTTTAATATTTCAAAAAAGTTACACAGACCATGGGGCTGTTTATCATAATCCAGGTTTGACTGTATGCTGTGTATCAGCATGCATATAAACCTCAGGGGGATATATTTCAAATACTGCACTTGAAATGTGGCTTTATTTTGAACATGTTAAAAACATAAGGAAAAGAATAATCACAATGTATAACTTTACATGTTAAAAAGGGAGCAGAAATAAGTCTAATTCTATTAAATCCCACCCCCTTTCCACAAATAGTAACAACAATCATATTTTTTTTTCTTCCTGTTTATGCCCTCTCCTAGAGATAGAGAGAAAAAGCAATTAAAATAAGGTAGGGCTTGTACAGTGTACAAGACAAGTGCCTGCTACATACACACAGAAAAGCAGTAACTGTAACACAAGCACCAACAAATCATGTTCTGAGTGTAGGAGCGTTAATTTAGAAATCTTATGTACAAACTGTCAATGTAAATCACACATCATATGATGGATGAAAAGAGGATGTTATAGCTTAAACGAACACAACAAACAAAATGAAAAGGCAAACAGGAAATACATGCAGAACAACGTTTTTGTAGGGCACAACAGCGCACACTGACAGATGTGTGCATCCCGCGGCGCTGAAAACCGAACATTAAAGCAAAGTGACGGCTCTGCTTTGCTTGCCTTTTCAAATCACCGCCACAACCATAACCCCTGACACGTGAGGGTTTTTTTTGCACGGCTGAGGAGAAGAGACAAAACTCTAATCAGACACAATCAAAGCAGTCGAAGTCAAATAATGTCCATATTTGATACTATCTGTCTTCCCATCTCTGTTCTGTCTAGTGACTTCACATTGGCTCTGTGGGATGGATGTGCAGCCATGAGTGTTGCCACAGAGGCAGCTGGCGTCACCGTTCCCGCTGACCTCCCAGTAAAGTGTAGCTGAGCCCTCAGGGACCCTGGGAGTCATGGAAGCCAGCAGCACCACCCATGAGATGCAGGCCCTGTCTCTGATTTAATGACCTCAAATCAGCAGTCTTGTTCACTGAGCCCAAAGACCTTCTTAAATACGACCTTCAAAAAGAAGAAGAAAAAGAACAAAAAAAGAGCAGAGAAAGCTTTTACTGACCTTTAAACTGACCTGTGCCTTCTTATTCTCCTGCAGGCTTTATACAGCTAATGAGTGGACAAGTTTGTGACACAGTGCCACCATAATCGTCTCTTTCTCCCCTCTTGCTGCCATCCTGTTGGAAGCTCTTATTATCTCAGAAGAAGATTATAACATCTGCAAATGATTTAGTGTCAGAGATTGCAATTAAACTGATGAGCCCTTGTTAAGAGCTCAGAGTGTGTCAGAGCAACTCTTTGAAAAATATCTTTTTAAACCATCTTGAAAGCAAAGATGACTAAAGTAATGACGGCAAATGTAATAAGCTTCTCATCCGAACCACAAATGTAAAGTTGTTGCTCATGCAAACAATACAGCAGAGGCTGTAGATCAGGGGTGTCAAAGTCATCACGGGCCACATACAACCCTACTTTGATCTCAAGCGGAAAAGATCAGTGAAACTCTTCTTTCTGTCTATCTGAATTTAACTGCTCATTTAATCCCTGAGATATCTCAATATAAGAAAAAGAAGTGCAATTTCAACAGTAGCTCTCACTTTTCTTTACATGATAAAGAAATGTCGCTGTTGTAAATGAAGCAAACCCATCAGCGCCACTCTTTAGATTTAAACTGTAAGAAATTAATATGTAAAATTACAGAAATGAGTCTGGTAGCTCATTGATAAAACTGCCCTGTAATTATAAAGCAGAAAGTTACTGTCAATTCACAGAAAAATGACCTGTTTTATTTATTTATTTACATTGGACACTTTGTAAAAAACTAAAAAAACAACCTAGTAATTTCTATAGTAGTGAAAAAAACGTAAACAGTTGAAATTGTATCAGTAGATGGAAAAATGTATGGCGTATGTTGGAGTTTTTGCTGGACTGATTTTGACCCCTGGGTCTTATGTTTGACACACCTGCTGTAGAGGAAATAAAGGCAAAAATGTCAGCATAAATCAAATTTTGAATGAGAAGACACAATAAACAGCTGCCACGTCCTTCAAATAATTTTTGCAAACACTTTCTGTGGCACTAGGAGCTGGATTTGTCAAAGTACTAATAACCTTGCTGGCATATTAGGAAGAATTAAGGAGCAAGACTTTACATAAAACAGCACCTTTTTACCTGTTTACCTGGTTTACATTTGTCAATATTGGTATATGAAAGATGAAGTCCACTAACATGTTTACTTTGTGTCCTCCATCAGCAAACGACATCTTCCACAGAATAATATGACCTTCATACAGGTGGAAGATTACAGGACTATTGTATTAGGCTTTGTGGATAAGTGGATAAATAACCTCCGAAGTGTATTTTCCCAACAGACAAAATTCTTCCCTTTGTTACAGTAATAATGTTGGTGGAAAACAGGCAGCACGCCTATTTTACCTGTTTGCACACCTTGAGACTAGTTCATCCTGTTCAGAGATCTGGAAGAACTTGTCTCCCAGTTAAAAAAAAAATTGGTGTGGATCACTTTTTGCTGGGACAAATGACACAAATTACTAAATACGAAAATGTTGTACTGTTGTCTTTCAGCATTTCACACATTTTACTTTGAAAACTGTTGTTCCCTATGGCTGTAGTTAGTTATAAATTATTGTTGAGCTTATTAAATTTTTTTTCAGCTTCCATTTATTTAAAAAGATTACTTAAAAAATGTAGGTTTTGTCTTTGTTACTTTGTCCTGTTTGGCCCTTCCACTGTTTTTGCGCTGTGGTCTTCTATAATCTGCCAGTAATCAAGTACTTTTAGCAGGCCAGGGTATTTTATGTTGTTGTATTTGCATATCAGCCTTTAATACTAAAATGATTGTGGTTTCTATATGATTTTTATTTTATTCTTTTTTATTCTTATTTGCTTGCTTATCATTGTAGTGGTGGACCGTCAAACTGATTCGCCATTTCTGGGATAAAAAAAAAAGTTTCCTGAATGTGGAATCTGAAATCTTTTCAAGCTTGATTAGACTACCTGTGGTTTAAACTAATAGAATTAAATTGGATGGCCAGATCCCAACAAACTAAATGTAGGGCAAACACTGTGTTTGCATGGGGCAAAGTGGGACAGGTTGACAATGCTGAATTTTATTTCACTGTTATTTCAGCCGCTGTTCTGCCTGGTAACAGTTTTTGGCTTTCAGTTGTATATGTCAATAGACTGATATACCTTTTTTGAGGCATGTCTGACAGTTTGGGCAATTTTTTAACCAATCATGACAAATAAAACTGTTACTTCACACTCCTGTGTGAAGCAAAAAAAATAAATAAGCTCAGTTTGTCAGTATATACTATGACCTCATTGTCTTTGTAGTTGTTTCTGTCATATTCAGCAGAATCTGCAAAGTTTGTGACTTTTTGATTTGGTTACTGTTCCCTGATGAGTATGGCATTAGAGATGCTGACCTGACTATAATTTTAAAAAAGCCTTGCCTTCACATGCTTTAACTCTTTATTATACACATTTGGTAAAAGCCGGTCTCTTAGAAAATGCATGTCCCGCAGACCCGATCAAAGTGTGGGACACTGTCTGCAGATGTGGGAGAAGGGCACAGGGGATAAAAATGCTGCGCAGTGCCACATAAAGCGGAACGTCTGCTCACCTTATTGTTGCTGATTTCAAAACTCTATTTTTTAATGTAGTTTGTTAGTTTTTTCACGAGCGGGTTAGACTGTGCTTTCACCAACAGAGGGAGACAAATGAAACTGCAAAAACCCTCGCGAGATGAGACAAATCTCACGAACCCCGAGCCGTCTCTTTAATTCTCGCGGGATTTCCGAGTTCCTCCTCTTTCACTCCCTGTAGCCAACATGGCAGTCGGCAAGAATAAGAGGCTGACCAAAGGCGGCAAAAAGGGTGCCAAAAAGAAGATGTAAGTTGGACATTCAGACATTGTTGTGTGAACAACACTTCGCTTTTTTCGTTGGTGTCGTTTTGGTGTGAAATGGGTGAAGGATGAAGCCGATTTTAAGTGGATGTTAAGCGGCCAGTGCTAGTGTCGGCACCGCCGGCCCCAGTGGCGCTGAGCTGTAGCATGATGTCTCCTTTCATGCTCTTAGACTTTCTGTAGTTAAATTGGTTTTATTATGTGCGAGCAGCTCATTTGGAGTATCACTAGCACAGTAAGGGAAAGCTCAAGTAATTTGGTTGCCAGCTAGCGCCTGCAATCTTATATGCTAAAGGCTACTGAATGTTAGCTTAACTGTAGGCGAGCTTGTCTGGCAACATGGCAGTCGGATCCTACGGCTAAGAGTTAATGTATCTAACTTATAACACCATGTGGTGCAGACGATCAGTACGACCGAGCTAGTCCGTTAGGAAATAATGAAAGCGATTAGAGTAGTGGTTATTCCACGGTGTTTGCTAATCCGAGCAGTGTCCTTTCTCGTACTGGTATTCAAGCATGGCTGAGATGATTGTGAATTAATACTTTCTACTCTTCTGCAGTGTGGACCCTTTCTCCAAGAAGGACTGGTATGATGTCAAGGCACCAGCCATGTTCAACATCCGCAATCTTGGCAAGACCTTGGTCACCAGGACTCAGGGAACCAGTAAGTCTGCATTGTGTGAAGGCTGTTGTGTGTGTTGTATGCTAATGTTGCTTTCTGTAAAGTACAGAAGTGTCATTCTTTGATTCAGTGAAACTCTGGCAGTAGTAGTAAAGATCAGCTTTAGAGTTGTGTAGGTGATGCATAGTTTTCTAGTGCTGTCCATTATTATCTGAGAGTGTCCTTGGCTTACAGTGGGAATGTGTGATGACAAACTGTTTCGGTCCCAAATGATGGTCCTGATTACTTACGAGACCAACTGCCTTTCCCATTATCAGTACTTACTTCAGCTTCCAGAGACTTCTCGTTACTTTTCAACCATTTAACTTTTTTTCGTACCTCTTGTGTCACACAGGAATCGCCTCAGATGGTCTGAAGGGACGTGTGTTTGAAGTGAGCCTCGCCGATCTCCAGAATGATGAGGTGGCCTTCCGCAAGTTCAAGCTCATCACTGAGGATGTTCAGGGCAAGAACTGCCTCACCAACTTCCACGGCATGGACCTGACCCGTGACAAGATGTGCTCCATGGTCAAGAAGTGGCAGGTGATGGTCACATTTTTCACCAGTGGTGCCAGATAGCTGATGATGTCACTTATGCCAATGTGTTTGTTGAGATTTGAGATTCTACAGGGCTACACTATGTATGGTCTTGGTGTGAACATTCAGGTTTGTATATGGTATATTTACACTGGAGTGTAAATGTTGGGACTCAACACATTAGAAGGAAAAGAAAGACTTATGAGAAATGTCTTCCATGACCAGTATAAAGGGGGAAGTAATCCAATGTAATTTGGTATGGTTTAAAGGTTTTTAGATATACTTCTTTAATATACTGTCTTAAAAAAACATAATTGCAAAACAGGAGCTTTGAGAAGTCAATATAATCACCAATGCTGCTTGGCGATGGAGAATTCTGAGTACTGGCATCCTCACAGGGCTTTTTGTCAGTGCCCCTCATTCTCTGCTGGGAGAGTGCACAGTTGATGTTTGTGCGAAGCTCTTTCACACATGCAATATGGGTTGCTGAGGATACTGGGAGCTTATTTTTGCAATAAGCCTCCACCTTTCCACAGCATTGTGTGTGCTGTTCGTGCTGTACTTGTGTCAGAAGTGAGTGAAGCTTGTGCTGATGGATCCCTTCATTGTTCGTTAATGACATGAAGTTAATTCTGGTCATTAGCTTAAATGTTGGGCCTGTGAAATGTGTCGGCAGTTAAAAGTATCTGAAGTGGTCAACCACTTCAGTAGTTGCCAACAGTAGTAAGCTGGTGAGTGCAAGCAATGGGCCATCGCTAGTTAAGTCCATTCACAAAACCCCGTTTGCGTAAACATAAATTCAGGTTCACAGCGGGGTTTCATACATTCCCAGAGGCAGAGTGCACTCTAGAACTCCAGTCTATCAAAGGACTAACATGTTGTTTGACTTTTGCTTGCAAGAATTTAAAATGATAAATCATGTTAAGACGCAAGTGCGTACAGTCATCTGATCTGTAAATTGTATTTATTTTTTGGCCCAAGACAGCGGTTATGAAAGTGTTAGGTCTTCTCAGCAGGCGCTGGTAAAATATTTTGGATTTAAGTGTGTTGGTCATATATTCATAATTTTGTAGTGTTGTTTACAGCAATGGTAGCAGCAAAGTCTGAGTGCATCAATGCTCTTTGAAACGCAAGCAACAAAGTGTCATTTCATGTTGGCTCTTCCCATTCAAAAATCAAAGGCCACTTTATTAGATATACCTGGGATATCTAGTGTGTTCAGCAGCTGTGCTATTCGTTATACTTTAAAGCTTGTCAATGTTGTATATTGGACTATTACATCTGAGATTTCTCAACATTACATGTGGACAGCGAGCAGTAGAATCATAAACTGTTGTAGAACAAAACTGGAAATATAGAAGCTTTCTAAATGCAGAGTATGTGGCAGAGTTGTTGCATTAGACTTCACAGCTATACCTAGTGCCCTGGGTGACAAGTGTACACCTCAAACCATTTACTAGTGACTCCAGATTAACAACACTTTCAAGTTGGGTTTTAATGCATTTTGGTTCTGAAAAGGAAACGTGAGCAGCACATTGAAGGAACACGAGCAGAAAAAGTTTGTTACAGACCGATGCGTTTTAAGGCGGCACTGTTAATGTAATAATCATTATTTTTCTGCTCAGACCATGATTGAGGCCCATGTGGATGTGAAGACCACCGATGGCTACCTTCTGCGTCTTTTCTGTGTGGGTTTCACAAAGAAGCGTGCTAATCAGATCAGAAAGACCTCCTACGCCCAGCACCAACAGGTCCGCCAAATCCGCAAGAAGATGATGGAGATCATGACACGTGAGGTTCAGACCAATGACCTGAAGGAAGTGGTCAACAAGTTGTAAGTCATATTTGTTTCTGACTAAAGCACAGATGGCATTATTAATTTAAGATTGAGCTAATTATGTCTCTGAGTGCACTCAGGTTTTTGTGTGTGTGTCGCAATTGATGGTTTTAAATGAATGCGTTTGCTTTTTCGTATTCCAGGATCCCTGACAGTGTTGGCAAGGACATCGAGAAGGCCTGCCAGTCCATTTACCCTCTGCACGATGTGTACGTTCGCAAGGTCAAGATGCTTAAGAAGCCCAAGTTTGAGTGTAAGTAATGCACGGTAGTATTTACAGAGAGTGTTTCTTTTGTTTGTGGGAACAAAAGATGACAATGTTTCGGTCCCATATGATCACCTGATTACCTTATTGAGATCAGCTGATGTTCCCTTGCAACATGCTAGTTGACAAGCAGACATTCTTGGTTTAATTGAATGAAATGTTACAACTGTAATATCTTTGTCATTTCATATGTATGACAAACTGTCATTTGCAAGTTGTCAGTAATGGTTTGATCAGTCAGTTAAATTCCCTGTCCTCCCTTGCAGTGGGCAAGCTGATGGAGCTCCATGGTGAGGGTGGTGCTGCTGGTGCTGCAAAGGCTTCTGGTGATGACACTGGAGCCAAGGTGGAGAGGGCTGATGGCTATGAGCCCCCCATTCAGGAGACAGTGTAAAAACACCCTGATTTGAATAAAAAAAAAAAATGTAAATGACCAACAAACTGTTGTTTCTCTTTGTCAGTAAAGTAATGCAGTCATTCAGTCAGTGCATGTGAGGGGATAAAATGCTACAAAATCCAGCACCCTCGAAGGAACTAGTCACCAGATAAAAGGCGGATGCTGCAGAATTAGCAGTGCATTAGGTCTTGTTTGTATAAAAGGTAACTGACCTGAATTCTATTTATTCTTCAGTGTAGAAGATGCCTGTGTTCCCAGTATCTGTGGTAAAACTGGGTCTGCACAGGTCCTGCTAAATCACATTACTGAAGCTTACTAAAATTATAGCAGTAATCTTCCCCCCCCAAAACTGTGTGATTTAATTTAATCTCAGTAAAGAACATTTTTGAAAGTGAAATTCATTTGTAATGGGAAGAAAATAAAACCACTAGATGGTGCTAGTGTACATCTGGTTAAATCTAAAATGCTTACCAAAAAAAACAAACATTGTCCACCATCTGTAATATTTTTATTGATTCTGTAAACATTTTTCAAGTGGACTTAAAGTTGGATTACTTGTAGATAAAATACTGCATTCAACTTAAAGTCAGTTCACGCTTCTGCTGTAAACAGGGTCACTGGAGCTTCAGGTCATCCAGCTGTGCTTTGCACCAACAGTCCGTGTGGCTTTAATCCAGTACTTGCACGTAGTTTTTAGGAACCAAGGCCCGTTTGCCTCTCAGGTCCCCTAAAAACCATTCATCATCTATGGACTCGAGATTGGTTATAATATCCCCAACCTGTAAAAGAAGAGGAAATGTGGTTTTACATGTAATGAGGAATTTATTTTGTTTACTCGTGTAAGACTGAATCGCATCACTACCCGCAGGGAGAGCTCCTCATCACAGGTTGATGCGAAGCTGTACAGAGCCCTGGCTCTCCCGCCTCCAGCAGCTCCATTCTCCTGGTTATTAAACGGCTGCTGGCCTGTAAAGGGCAAGATTTGAAGGAACACTTGCAAATCATATCAGATCTCATTGAACATGATCCTATACTCTTGTGTTTCTTGAACTTTTAGAACAGTGTATTTAGTGCATGTATGTGATAAACCGTGAAGCTTTGGGGGCAAACTTTGCTTCTCACTGTCATGCTACAGAGCAGCAAGACAAAAGAGGGAGGTCTTTGTCCATCTTCTCACACCTGATTTTCTCTACCAAAAACGCACAGTATAAAGACACAGGCGTTTCAAAACAAAACTCTTCAGCTCAAATGTTAATGACATCATCACACCTGTGGTGCTTTCCACATAATTCCTGGGGAAGAGGCCCTCCCTGCCGTTGAGCCTGCCAGAGCTCCACTCAGCATCGATGTGCTTGGTGACGAGGATACAGTCGCCCTGTTGAAAGGACAGCTCTTCCTCCGTCCTCCCTGGATAATCATACAGAGCCACCACCCACTCCACGTCAGAGTGAGACGCCTACAAAAAACAAGGAGCAAAATACACAAATGTTCAGTGCACCTGCGGAAAACTTAACTATAACAAAACTATTATATATTTTGCTCAACACACAGGGTCAAATTGCATGACCAACATTGTCTGGATTTATTATCGTGCTTGTATCAGTGTTGGTTACCTGAGCAGGTTTGCCAGCCTCAGGGTGTATGCTGGGAGAAGCGGCAGCCATCCCTGTGTAAATATGAACAAAATTAAATCAAGGAACAAACAGAAAATTCTGTGGCCACATTTTGTGACAGTCCTCAATAATGTATTAGTGTGCTATTAATAATTCAATATTGCTGCCATTGAGGAGACTGGTGTCAGGCTTTTTGTATTATTTCTTTTACTGAGCAGGAGTTTGCATTATTCATGTGAATGCTTTAACTTTTTAAAGGCCAATTTCAACTTTTTTCCTCAATTTATAGTATTTAAAGAGTATTTGTAGGACAACAATGCACTACTCGTAACCTCTGATCTGTAATTCTAAACTCCTGCCTATGGCTGGGCTTTTGTAAACAATTATTTAATTAAAGTCAAACACAAGTGCAAATTCTTGACATGCCACAGAGAGTATGTACCAGCCAGCATAAAGTAAAGACGCTCATAAAGGCTCTTCAGTGAAAGATACAAAACATCTGCATGTTGTAGTGTGGATATTCACACAGATAAATGTATGTATGTACAGTTTAAAAGTCAGCACATAGTGAACGTCTGAGTGTCTTCAGAAAATCTTACCGGGCAGTGCGACCTTCTTACTGGGTTTCTGACTCGGGGGTGGAGGCAGATCTTCAATGACGTCTACAAAGTTAAGGGGGAAGATGCCAGTGTGGCCGCCGATCTGTCCCCGTGCCCAGTCCTGTCCCATATACTCCTTCAGCTGGATCACATCACCCTCAGAGAACGACAGCTCATCACTGTGCTCCCCTTCAAAGTCGAACCTCGCCATACACCTGGGACCACTTTAAGGGTATATTAAACAGCCAGTTAGCCCATCATGCTAGTTTGTAAAGGCTGATCCAAACATTTTAAGCTGCAAAGACAGTACCTGACTTTTGCGGGTGTTGGTGGCGGCTTTGGTTTCCTTTCTGGGAGGGATTTTGGTGAATCCAACTAATCAAAAAGAAAACAAAAGGTAAAAGCACTTGCCTTGCTTTTTGATTGTCACTAAATAGGTGAAGGATGCACTGAAACCTACCAGGACTTTGACATGATTGATGGGAAAGAAACCAGTAGATCCCCTACAGGTGCCTCTGTACCACTCGCTGTCCACCTTCTCCACCATGGCCACAATATCTCCCGCTCTCAGACTCAGCTCTCCGGGGCCCTCTGAGAACCAAACACTTCACAATCAATCATTCAGTGCAAACAATCAAATACCTCTACACTTACAGGCCACTTCATTAGGTACACCTGTTCAACTGTTTGTTAATGCTGATGGCTGATCAGCTGATCACATGGCGGTAACCCAGTGAATTTAAGTATATAGACATGGTCATGCTTAAGTTTAAAGCATGGCACATTGGCACACTTTGGGCCCCTTAGTGCCATCAAAGATATTTGATGGTTTCTCTACTGTGAATTAGCTCACTGTACTCAAATGACCTCCACCTGTGATATGTGGTATAGCAGGAATTCTGCATCGTGGATGTGCAAATCTGCAGCTGTCTCTCAGGGATGTTTCCGGCACCGTGTTGAATCTATGCCATGAATAATTAATACAGGCCAGACTGGTAATAGCAAGGTGTACCCAATAAAGTGGCCATCAGTGTCTATGATTCTTTTCAGACAATATGCATTTTATCAGCAGGAGAGGTTGTTGTTTAGAGTGTTCACTGTAGCACGGACACAAAGAGGCCAGCAGAAATAAGAAACTATTTGTTATTTAGGGAGCATTGGAGGTAGATCTAGGCGTGGTTGTCAATTTTGGACTGACCTCCTTTCTATTGCATTTCTTTTCTGGAAAACAAGCTAGTCTTGGTCAAAGTTAACACTAATTCTTACTAGTTAGGCCCCCATTATCTTGTGCCATATAAACCATCACCTCCTGACTTCACCTGAAAGAGTTGTCTCCAAAGATTAAAAGAAAAAAAAAAAAAAAAGCATATGCATATGGATTTCTAAATTTAGTGGGAGGCCCTTGGGTTAGCCCCCTGTCTACAGAGATTACACTATACTAACCTCCCTCCCCTTTTGACTGGAAACCTATAATTGTATTTGTCCTCTAATTAAAATGCCACAACAAATCCAGACAACGAACAGCCTGAAATGTCAAAAATATTCTATTAAACAGTTATTCAAGAAACCGATGTGTCACCTGGATCGAAGTCATGTACGACCTGCACCTTTAGCCCAGTTTGGTCAGAATCCTGCACAAAAAGGAACAAAGACTTTAAAGTGTAACACATCAGGACAGACTGGTAACAACAGCATCAACGGATCAGGTGGCAAAAAACATACACTGACTCATAACAAAAGGCTGAGTCACCTGTGGTGAAGATTCATCCGAGGAAAGGGGAGTTATAATCTTCATGCAGGACTTGTGGACTTTTCCTCTAGTTTGTCCAACTTGGCACTCCAATTCATTGTGATTAATTTCTCTGAGCAGCAGCAGCACTTCGTTTTTCTATCGAAAGGCCAACAGTACACAAAGGACTTAACGATGTGCTTAACAATGATGAGCTGCAGGCCACGTATGTGCTGGTAAAACTAGTTTGGTCACCTGAAATGACAGCTCTCTCGAACTACTCCCTTTGTAGTCAAAGCTTGCAATCCCATGGGGAAGCTGCAACTAGTAGGAGAAAGAAAAAAAATATTATCAAGCCCTCACTAAGCCGTTGTAGAAACAAGCCTGGAGTTTTAATGCGTGCAGTTTCTCACAGTGTATTTGTTGTAGAGGCGGTGGCCTGGGTTGGGCCTTGGGGGTAAGACGAGTTCTTTCCTCTGGGGCTTCTCTGGCTGGAGTTTAGGTGAAGCGTCCCATGACAGCAACTGAGAGCGACCTGTGGCTTTGAAGCTTTGGGGAGGCCTTCCCGGGGCTATTTTGGCAGCAGGTGGGCGAGGTGGCAGGCTTTTGTTCACACTTGGCTTCCTGAAGTGCAAAATTGTGCACAACTTGAGCGGGACATACTCAAAGTGTCCTACAGTTTGATATTTGATCGTTTTCCCCCCTGCACTTACCGAGGTGGCAGAGATGGCATTGGCATAGCACTGAAAGGCTCCTGGAAAAAGAATCAGGGCAAAAGATGTGAAGCACAACTAGCTGAAGCTCAACAGCAGGCAGCGGGTTTAGGAGGCAAGAGTTTCATCAGAAGATGCACTTTAATGAGGTTTGAGCCTTTCTTGTGATCCAAATCATACCTGGAGGGACAAGCTGGACTGCAGGCTTTTTTTGTGGTTCATTGA